CAGACCCCAGAGGTTTGGAAAGACGTAGCTCTGGCGTTCTTCCACCACTAGCTCCCAGCTGGATGCCCCATCAAGGTCCGACGAGTGGCTATCTACAGATGTTATCAGAGCTTTCTTGTGGGGGGGCCTTGAGCTCATGGAGTTACCAAGCATTAAGTACGATGATATTTGAGGTACGTTTATGACCCAGTCTGGTTCAGTTTCGTCTCTTTCGAATTACGTTTCTTCTTATTCTCATGAATTTTTTGTTACAGTTTAATTTTAACGTAAAGTCCATTGTGTAACGTTCCAGTCTCCAGCGTGGAGTTGTTATTGCACACGTGTATTGTGTTGCCCTGTGTTTAACTACCCCCATGACTAGCGTCAGGCTGATATCTCTCTCTCTCTCTCTCACACACACCCGTCTATCTCGAACCTTGCCCACCCCTGAGCTGCATGACATATGCTCAGTTTCTGTGTGATAAATTGCCCTTTCTGTCCCCATAGTTGTGCAGACTCCTGAACCCGCAGCATTATTTACTAACTTCAACACTCTTAGGGTTGACTTTTGAATAGGGTAACGTCGTTCACCTGCACTTGATAAATTAGCTTCTGAAAGATGCTGCATTCGTCTCCAGAATGACGTATATCTTAGAAAGTTGCCAAAAGCTTCATCTTTGGCGACCATCCTAAGATGTGGTACGCATTTATCGTCATGCTTCTATCTGCTACTTAGTCCTTCATGCCAGGGATGAATTGTTGGCAATACTTTCCCTATCACCGTTCATTTTACAATAATTTCTACTATGTTTGGCTTCATCTTTGACGATCATCCTAAGATCCGATTTTTGTCAGATTCTTTGATGTTAGTTATTGGTGCCGTTTTTATTGCTTTTCTTTCCCCATAGGGGGGAAGACTTATTGGGTTCCCCAGATGCTATTTTTTTAGTATCAACTTGTGTGGTTTCTCTCTCTAGGAAGTCCAGAATATGCTGGATCGCATTCAAAGAGGGGAAAGAATGATGATTGACGTGAGACCTCGTTTAACATACTCTGATTTAGATTACTTTCTTCGGAAGTTTTTCTGGGCAGAAGCCTCCAATGTGATGGTGGGATTACATTTTCTTAGCATCCCATCCCTCTCTGTGCAGCGTGCACTGCTTCTGGATGAGTCACTATTCCATGATATTCATCAAGCTAAGAGCCTCGAGGACACTGTGCAGGAGTTGTTGGCATTGGTGGAAGAGCAGATTGGGAATGTGAGTGTGGGGGCTGGCCGAGGACACTGTGCAGAAGAACTTCTACACCCTGCAAGGCCGAGTCCTGCTGTATCTGCCAGGTAAATTGCGAAGAAACCATCCGGACATTCATGCATTTGTCAATTTTCTGTGGCATTCACTCCTTCCTTTACGCATGGCAGGAAAATTATGCCGATGGCGAGGATTTGGGAGTGTTGACCTTGGGCATGATCGTCTGCCCGCTTCTTGTGTTGGAAAATGGCTGGTTCAGTAGAACGTCTGCCCGCTCTGCAAGAAGACGGCCTTATCTACCTAAATCACGAATACGTTTCTCCTGGCAGGAAGATGCGAAGGGTGAGCAGTGAAAAGGTGGAGCCTTTTTAACGTCTCTGGGTCTGAACAAGCGAACCAGAGGTGCTGGTTCGAATTTGCATTCGATTCTATCGTTCCCTTCACTCCCATTTTTTGGGAGTAATACCATTACTGAAACCTGGTCGGTCCCCACTCGTGAAGACTATGTTCCATTGTCTGCTGTTGTTTTCCTCAAAGTTGCCGCCTTTGAGGTGGAATATGACCAGATTATGAAGCCCTTGACTTTATTCATCATTTGATTGGATGGTTCCTGTTGCATCCTTTTTGTTGTTTGGGTTACAGAAAAATCATTACCCTCCTTTCTTGTTGATTGAAACTTTTTAGCTTGTGTTTATCCTGTAGCAACGTGTTTGACCCAGCCAGCTCTCTGAAAGGCTCTTTCTTTAGTTACTTTGTCAACCAATAAGCTGCTGCTCCTAAAGTCAACGAGAGATCATAAAATCTGCAAGAAAGACGGCATCTTAGTCTAAATACAGTATGGAAGGAAACAAGTCATACTGCAAAATCGGTTCTTTCCCTATTTCCGCGCGTCTTTCTCAAGCATCACACTCGATCCATGTCCCGGTGCTCCTCCCCAAGACTCTTTCTCGCTGACTTCCTCTCCGCCATGTTATATGTAACGGGTACTCTCTGCGCACGGCCGGCGCCGTCTCCCACCTTTCTCCTCTCTCTCTCTCTCTCCCTCTCCCCGAGGAAGCGAGTTGCAGAGTACGGCGGCGATCCGAAGGAAGACGGAGAGGGGAGATCCAGAGCCACCCGCTACCCTAGGGGATATGCAGACTTGCCCAAGTCTCCGGGCGCAGCAGCATGGGGATTCCACCGGCGAGTATCTTTTTATCATCTTCTTCCGCGTATCGCTGAGCCCTCTCCTTCGTCTAGCCATCTTTTTCTTGCCGCGTATCGATCTATGTATCAACTCACCTCCACCGGTGACCCAGTTCAGAAACTGGGCTGCCGGCACTCAAGTGCGGCCAGGTACTTGAGTTCTCCGTTTTCTTCTCGCTGCGCAGCGCTGCCCGGGAATGGGAACGCGTTGGAGGAGGATCTATCCGACGAGGGTGGAGAGCACGCTAATTGACGTGAGATTTTCGCACCCCCGAAAACTCTGGACATCTTGCTGCTTCTTGATCACACAGACCGGCGGCTGTCTTACCGGTGTCTCTGTGTCTCTTCGCGAGTCGTCGAGGCTCGTAGTGCCCCGGAGGAGATGTGCAGAGTCCTCATGAGGTCAGACAACGCTGCCCTTGCCAAGTTTCCTTTCCTTACCTGCTTCCTGTTTCTGACTCGCGCGTTGTTTCTCTGGGCAGCAGCACACGAGAAGCTCGTTGAATCCCGCTGTGTTCCCCCTAGCTCTGAGGGGGACGGGTACAAGAAGCAGCCTCGCCTGTCCAGATATACGGCCGCTGAGGGAGAGCAACAGATCAGAGGAAGTATGTGGCGCTCCTCCGCCGCGTGCACCGCCGAAGAAACATGCACACTTGGTGGCGCCGCGGACCATCCCAGTAGCATCTCTGACAGCTTGGCATGTCTTTGTGGGAGGATTACGCCTAGGGTGAGGACGTTGTGGCGCCGAGCTGCGGGTCGCAGCTTCCATGCCGCCTGCGTTTGGAGATGGCTGCTACAGAGGAATGTCTGCCCGATCCGCAAGAAGACGGCCCTCCTGCCCCCTCTTTGAGTGCCCCATGGATTCAGGAGGCACCTCCACCATACCACACAGCTCCCGTTTCGTCCTGCTCGTCGAAGCCGGCATCTGAAACTGTTGTACCTCTTGTTCTTGCCGCTCCTGCCGTCGTCGATGATGACGATGATGGGCTATCGACGAACCGCAGCCAAGGTACTCGCCATTGCTCATAAAGTGTCCACCATTAATGCATGCGCTCGGCGTCTTCTTCTTTCTTCCTCCCGTGGCCGGCTTCTCTACTTGCGAGATCCAGAGTCAACTTTACGAAGACGGCAGCTGGGTTTTGGCCCAGCTCGGGGTGGGATTCATCTTCTTCCCCGAAAGCTGGATCATGCGGCCCTGTTACTATAAGTGGTCGGGAATTTTGCAGAAAAGCCCCCGCCGCAACGGGGAGGGGCTGCGTGTGCCGTCGTTGTAACAGCAGCTGCAACCGCACGTTGCTCTCTTCCTTTAATGAATGCAGAGGCCGGTGCCCCCCACCGCACGCTTTTCCCAACGCCGTTCGCAGAGACGGACGGTGGTGGCTATTCCCACCCACCTTCATTCCTTCCTTCCTTTCTTCTCCCCTGGCTAAACCCCCGCCGCCTCGTTGGTGCGGGCTGGTGCATCAAGGGGGGAGGAGAGTGAGAGTATCAAATCCTGGGGGTTTGACATCTTAGTTACCCTAGGGAGAGCAGGGGTGAAGTGACCATGGTGAGACAGAGGGACTGGACGGCCAGATAAAGAAATGCTTCCAGGGGAAAGAGGGAGGAGGAGCAGAAATTGTTAGATTATTCAGAGGGCGATGCGGAAATCTCCAGAGAGGGATGGGTTGTCAGACGAGGAGAGCTCCCCGGGCTGGAAAGCTGCTGCCTGCGTGCTTAGCTTAGCAGAAGGTCTCTCACGTACGTTAATGGCGAGGAGGCAGAATGGTCTGTAGTTTTTAAGGGCTTCACTTCCTTCAGGTATTGGCGGTGGGAGGACTGGGGGTCGGGGAAGAAAAGGCCTGCGAAAATGAAGGAAGGAGGGCGAGATGGAGGGTCTGACAGTAGGCACAGGGGATGATTTCATGCTCGACAATGGGATGATCAGATCGTTATTAAAATAATGGCGGCGGTATTTTAAACCCTGTGACACCCCTCCGCTTCTCTCTCTCTGTTCCTCCCTCCCCAGCCCTGTTGCCTGTACAGCGAGAGAGAGAGAGAGAGATAGAGAGGGGGAGACGCTTTTGGGGGTTTTCTCTGAGTTGTGCTGCCGCCGCTGATTCTAACACTGCAACTCATCAGAGATAGAAGTAAGCAGTGGGAAGGAGAAACGCAGCAGAAGCTAGAGAGAGAGAGCTACAGAGAGTGACTGAGTGTGTGAAAGAGGAGAAGAGAGGAATCATTTAACAGTTCTGTTGATCTGCAGCCATTTGAAAGGGAGGCATGATGGATGATACTAACATTTCGAGCGCCACCAGCACCAGCCAGATCTCATCCCTGCTGCTAGGCCAGAGACTCTCGTCCGCCGCCGCCTCGATCTCCTCGTCTTCCTCCCCTGCTTCGTCCTTCCGCGGGGTCCCAGATGACCATTGGGCGAGGCAGATGGTCTTCTCCCCCTTCGCCGGCCACCGGCAGCCGACGGCATCTCATCTCAGGCCATGCTCCGGCGGCGCCGTGGGGACGGCGGCGGAGGGCGGCGGCGATGTGGGCACGGCGGTATCCTCGCTGGGGTTTGATCCGGCGGCGCTCCTGCAGGGTGGGGCAAAGATGTGCGCCGCGGCGGACTTTGACCCCTACGACGGCGAGAGCGAGGTCTCGGCCGCGATGAATTGCCCTTTCCCCATGAAGAAACCATGGAAACTATCGCGCTCACGGGAGCTCTTTCCTTCTCTTTCCCTTTTGCAGGAGGGCGCTGAGGCGTCGGAGGAGCAGAGGAGGCCGCCTCCTCGCTCCGGCTCCAAGCGGAGCCGGGCGGCTGAGGTCCATAACCTCTCTGAGAAGGTTCCCATCCTCCCCACTTCTCCCTTAGATTTTCATAGACTTCCTCTCGTACTTTGTTCTGTCCCTCATTCTGTCTCATCGATCAGAGGAGGAGAAGCAGAATCAACGAGAAGATGAAGGCACTGCAGAATCTGATCCCCAACTCCAACAAGGTAAGTGGCTGGGCTCCCAGTCAGATCCCGCCTTTTTCTCCGTCACTGTCTGTCGATTCACTTCTCTGCCGTGGCAGACGGATAAGGCTTCCATGCTCGATGAGGCTATCGAGTACCTGAAGCAGCTTCAGCTCCAAGTACAGGCGAGTACTTCCACCTGTCTATCAAGTCAGATACTCTCTTGTGATTTTTAAATGTTTATTGGTAACGGTAACCATGTTTGAATTTCATCTGATCTTTCCAATCATTCACATAAACAATTAAACTTCACAGAGATTAAAATCTCAAATCTGCTTCATCTTTCTCTTTGAGCTGACTTCATGTCCTTGATCTGTCTTAACCTCTTAGTCGTCTTCTTCCTCAGTTTTTCATATGATAAACTTTCGCATGCTGGTCTAGACATGACAATTTTCGTCCTTGACCCTGATCTGACATTATGCGTTACAGTGATAATTACCAGAAGTACGATTGTGCAGGATCATACAGAACCCTTCTCATTATTTTACTCTATTGTCTTATAGAACCATCATTCTGTTGATCTCTTTTTTCACTAGTTGAGTTTCGTCTGGTGTAGGCAGCCGCCATCAACTTCATGACATTTAGTGTAAACAAGGGATATGACGAATAATCTTAGATTATTACGTTAGAAATATGAACTGGGTTGCTCTTATAACAGGCAAGCTGGCTATCTACACAGAATATTTATGAGTCAGTTTATTCGTTTTTAACAGGTTTTCTTTGTCTGTTTATATCCGCAGATTTGTCTCTACTTCTCTTAATGGCCATGAAATTGTTCATTTCCTACATCTCTGTCTCCTTCATGTTCCCCTCTCTTCTTATTTATTTCGTAAATTATTGGAAAGTATGGATCCTGTCTCTTTGATCAAACATTGTAGAACTGGAAACGAACTATGAAGGGTCGATCCTCTCGGAATTATGTGCGATTTTTGAAGATAGTGATTGGGGGTGTCTATATCATATGCAGGCTTGTATCTCTATTTTCTTTGTCCATTTCTCTATCTTACCGTTTCTTCCATGGTATGCGGTTTTTTCTTTGTGTGCTTACCTTCTTCCACATTCTTTGTATTTTCGTGCAAGTTTTCTGACACCTGTCAGATGGAAATAGAATAATACTATCGACCTTATTCCAACATCAAAATGGGATGATGTTCTGTTACATGCAGTAAAGCAAGTGCAACCGTTTCCATTCTAGTCATTAATGATATTATGTTCAAGTCTCACTTCTTCTTTCTTAACTGTAGTTAGGAGGATTTAAGCCCTCTGGCAACCAAGGTTGGTGTGCGATAGTCATAGAGGTTAATCAAACTTTCAGGCCAGAAAACAAATAAATTAAATTAATAAACTCTAATGACTACATTTGAAGGAATGACCCTTTTCAATGTTTAATTTTATATTTTTTTCTGCAGTTCATGATGTATTTACACCAATAAAATAAAATGACTCCCAAGGTTTAGTATATTTTGCATTCTAACTTTGGCATTGTTCTTAAATATTAAGCATTCGATGAGAATTAATCTTGTTCTATATTCGAAAAGGATTGAGGATTCTCTTATTTTAAAAATTCTTCATCATGTCTATTCGCCATCCTCCCAGTTGGTCAAACTCATCTTACTTTCTTTCTCTACTCTTTCTGATGCATTATATAACAATACTAGTTAGTAGAAATTGGCCTCGAGGGTTCAAATCTCTATTCAATGCTTAGGTGAAGAAGAAACTCGTGAAACGAACAGGAAGAGTCACGCCTTTGTGACAGCAATTTTAGTGTGCTCAGTTTCTCCTTTTGTCAGCTTTTTACGTCCAGAACATATTGGGTGGTTTGCGGCTCTCTATTGCTGTCAGAATATCTCTATTGATGGCGCCATTAATCACGTGAATAAGTGGGCACCTTCTGACTTTCCCCTTTGTCACCTACATTGCATGGGTTGCATTTCTCATATCGCTCCATGTACTAATAATGCCTCCAGATTTGCCTTTGGAGACCTCCTCATGACGCTTGCCAATGGAATCCGTTTGGGATTATTACTATTTCCGTTTCCTCTACACTCTCCTATAAAAATGCTTTTGGCCTGAGTTCTCTCTTCCATCAAAATATTTCCTCTAGTGTTATTTGGATTGGAAAATAAAAGGAATTTCCACGTTCGAAGAAGATGAGTTCACATAAATCTTCGTACATTAGATTTTGTGTCAATAGAATTGCCATTTCTCACAAAATCCAAGAATCTATTCAGCTGTTGGGTTGTGGTGATGCTGTTTTCTTGCACTGGATCCTTAACATCTTGCCCCCTGAGATGTTACACAGAAAAGATGTAGGAAACCTAATGGCAAATAACATAGTTTGACATATTTGATGTAATTAATTTCAAATCATCCTGAGGAGGTTCCTGGGGACTGTGATGTCTATTTTTACCATATCTCTTGTGCAATCAAGGGTTGGGACTTCGTAGCCTTTTCTGTATTTGGGCTGCATGTCTCATTTTGCTACTTCTTCCTAACTTGTTTAAGTGCGTTCTCTCTTGAGATTTAGGTGATCATTTCTTAATGACATCATACTGATATATCAAGATGGAGGAGGTGTGCAGTTTCTGCATTTCTTGACTTGTTCCTTAAACTATCCAAACCTGGTAAATTTTGGGCTGGAGAAGAAATTTCAGTTCTGTAATCCAGTGATATGTGTAGAACATATGCTATTGCTGTTCTTTGTCAATTTCAATACGGTAAGATAAATCTTGGATCCTTTCCTTTTCATGACTGGCCCTTGTCATCATTTTTATCATTCTATTCTAAAGAAATCCTTAGAATAGTGTACTAGTCTAGTGATCTTTCTACCTCATGCTGCCTCTGTCTGATTTATGAGGATGCTGGATCCATATTTACTACCACAGAAAAATAAGAACTTATGTCAACTTTTTGGTATAGCACCAACATTAGATTTGCACCGCAAACATTTTAATTTTTGATAAGGTGATTAGGAGATAAAAATATCAAGCAAGGTTGATGGGTTACACATTTTTCAATGGTATATGTTTCTAATTATTGCTACGATTGAATTCTTTTCTAGTAGTTCTTAAGCTTCTTGAACGTTTTCCTGGGCAGATGCTGTCAATGCGAAACGGGCTGAGTCTACAGCCCATGTATCTCCCCCGCACCTTGCCAGCTCTTCAATCTTCACACATACGCATGGGTCTCACTCCGGATGGTGGTTCACTCATAAACATGGGAGTCGACATGATGCCGGCGAACCAAGATTCCTCTGTGCATGGCGCATCCTCCCAGCAGCACATGATGCCTACTGTGGCAGCCATCCCAAGTCCAGTGGCCTCCCTTGGGATCGAGAGCTCACAGTTCCACCCCTTCCGCTTTTCAGTGCCACACGAGGTACATCGTTTCTCTGGTTCCTCTTCCGATTATAGTAACAGGTTGCAGAACGTCTTGGCGAGGCTAATGCATTCAAGTTTGGTGCTTTGAACGTGTTGTGAAGGAGATATTTGAGCAGAGTCGGGTAGATGCTGACCATGGTGATGGGAACATACGTGGTGGGTCCCACCGGGCACAAGCTAGCTACTAACCTCGAATGTTTTTTTTTTTCTTCCCTTTAGAGGACACTATGAGATTGACCTCCATGACTGATGGGCAGGCGCCATTGCTGGGCGGAGTGGGCAGTCTCAGGGCGGCGGCATGCATGCTGGGAAGCAGTGGAAGGCCTGAAGAGATTATCGTGTTCAGGCTTTACAGAGGTATTTTGGTTCAATCAAGTTGCTCCTCTGGTGCCCAGTTTGTCTGAGTCGAGATTCTTCTCATTGGGACGGCTTCTTTCTTTCCATTTTTATTTTTTTTTCCTTTTCTGGCTCAGCGATCGGAAAAGTGCCCTCGCATGAGGTGACTAACATAAAAGGCTGGAATTCTACGAGCAGGACGACTAGGCAGCTGCTGTGAGTAGCTTCCCGTTATTTTTGGACGGGCGAGCACTGTGGATAAGTCTTCACAAAGAATTAAGTAAGGGTTTAGGTTCACTGATGACGAGTTCCGTCCATGTAAAAACAGTTAAACAGAGACGTGGTTGAATCGAAATCTATATAGAGAAAATGTGCCTTTTTTCTTTCTTCTTCTGAGGAGCTCAGCTTCCGCCTTTCGGACTCTCTTTTCGGAGCAAGGACCGAGTTGCACCCCTCATGAATGCCAATGCGAGCTGAACTGAGCTGCCTAAAAGGGCTACAGTGCCCCCCGCTGTCGGTTGACCTCTGGATCTCGCAGGTGGAGAAGCCAGCCATGGAAGGGAGAAGGGAGAAACGGCCCCAGAAGTATCGGATCGCGAGACGATGACGAGGGCATGCATTAATGGCGGGCACTTTATGAACATTGCGCAGGACCTTCCTTGGCTGTCGTTCGTCGATAGCCCATCCGGATCGACGATGACAACGAGGACGGCAGCAGTAGCAGCAAGAACTAGAGCAACAACAGAGTTTCAGATGCCGGCTTCGACGAGCAGGACGAAAGAGGACCTGTGTGGTATGGTGGAGCCGGCCTTCTGAATCCATGGGGCCAGTGAGTTCCAACTCAAACGAGGCAGAAGGGCCTCTTCTTGCAGATCGGGGAGACGTTCCTCTGCGTCAGCCATCTCCCAACGCAGCCAGCGGCGCCACCAAGCGTCCGTCTTCTCCCTAAAATAACCTGGCAGATGCAGCAGATTAGATGTAAGCGCGTGGAAGGGAACCAAATGAGCGAGTACTGCACCTCTCTCTCTCTCTCTCTCTCTCTCTCTCACACACACATACAGCCACATTCAGCAGCAGCTAAGAGGTAAGCAGTAAAAAAGAGTAAGAGGAAGGAGAGCAGCGTCCTCTGATCTCATAGGACTCTGCACATCTCCGGGGCCCGAAGAAAGCCTGGTGTCTCGTAGATGTGCAGAGTCCTTATGAGTTCAGAGGACGAAAGCTCGGGCTACTCTACATATCGCCGGCGAGGGAATGCAGCTCGGAATCTACCCTATTCCTCTTCCTGCCGATCAGAGAGAATGAACACGGGGACGCCTCCGGGGCTACCCCACATCATGGGGAGCAAGTGGAGAGCGGAAGAGAGAGAAAAAGAGAGAGAGAAGAGAGGGATGGGAGCCGGCGACGGCGACGGCGACGGCGGGCAGAGTAGAGGTGTATATAACGCAGGAAGAGGAAGTCTCCAGAAAGATAGGGTATTAGGGAGGAGGGAAGGGCTCCTAAAACCGAGCCCGTATCCTCCCTTCTCGAGTTGTTGCCGTATCTTTATTTCCCCAGATTCCAAAACGGCGAAAAACCGGTGTACCTTGTAAGTTTATAGCCGTCGCCACCCACAAAAATGGGAAAACGTCTGCAGAATTTCCCTTTCTTGAAGAAGAAGGGCCGCATCATTGCTCTGTGCTCCGCCGAACCCACTTAAGTGCTGCTCTCTGCTGCTGCAACGGGGGGATACGCCGGATCTTTTCTTCTTGTTTTTTTTTTCAGTAGCGCGCAGAGGGTGTAATACAGTCGTTGTGCACCCCACCTACCCCACGGACATGGAGATCTGCAGATTTTCTTTCTCTTGAAGAAGAAGGGCCACGCAATTACTCCGCGGCGCCGTGGTAAAACAATGAGATTATTTGGTTTTCTCTCCTCTATGCCGCTGCTTAATTTATACCGAAATAAATCTCTACTGGTTAAAATATTATCTCATCACTTGAATGACTTGGACATGTTAATTAATTGTTTTAATATTATCAATTTTGAATGAATCTTTTAGCTGAAATTACACGTGGGGATAAGCTCAATAATCAATAGTTTGTGATCAAATAATCGTAGTTAGAACCTAAGAACAATAGTTCATGTTAAATGGGATGTAGGACATGAGCTGAATCACTTTATAGTACCTTGGTCATACTTTGTCGATTTAGAAAGACCCTAGAAATTAAGAAGTCAAAGAGAAGATCGATTGAACAAATCAGAAGTCAAAGAAAGACAAAGGGGATCTTATCATAAAGATATTAGAAATTGATCAGTTAAATCTCCCTTCTTAATTTCAATACAATCCAAAACGTAATACGAATGATGTGCTAGTAACATTGTGAACCATTTTCTTGCATTGATAAAGTCAACTACCTGCACAAATAGGTCATGCACTTCTCCGAATTCCAATGATGTCCATAATTTTTCATTTTATGCTTATTATGGTACCTTGTATATGCTTTATTGTATGTAACCTTCTTCTAGGAAACTGTAATTTCACCACCTTAATTTCAATCTAACTTGACAAGACTTCATCTCCTATCGTATAAGAGTTTTGATGCTTCCATGAAGTCAAAATATTTATTTTAAAATAGAAATAATACAAATAAGAGATAAAGAACTAATTTTTTAATATAAAGAGAGGCCAAAATAATATAAATTTATGTTCAACATTAAAACGAACTAATTTTTTTGACCTAATATGCAAAGCTGAGTAACATCAACTAGTAGTAGACCAAATGTGTTACCGATCTAGTCATCTGAGTTGACTCACTATATTGACCCAAAGAATTGTCCTCACCCATGAAACTAGGATTGATGAAAATTAATTTTAATCACTTACAGATAGAAAATTATAGAAAATACATTAGAAAACAAATTCACCCCCTAATAGGTGTGTATTATAGCTCACTATGAACCCAATCACTGCAGCCATTTCGAGATATTAACTTTTAACATTCATTCCAGTGATTGGTTCATGGCCTGAGTTGACAGAACGTTGACTTTATCTTAGCATCTTCGCTGCTCGTCATTGAAGGGCCTCAGACTCTCAGGAATCAAGCCAGAATGATAGCAACTCTCAGACAAAATAATCAAGATCAACCGTTCTCGCCGTATTTTGAAGAAACATCTATCTCATTCTCGGATGCTTCACATTTCAAGTCTGCAGAGGTAGAAAATGTTGACTCAACCCAAGTGAGAAAGGATGAGGCTCGAACCTGGGTGCCTGGTTAGAGTTGGGGACATGTATCGGGAGTGATGATTAAGAAAGAGGCGAGGAAATAGGTAATGAACCTTCAGTTTCTGAGTATTAGCTCCGTCCATACTGTAGCGTTGACTTTAAGATGCCCTCTTTCATGCAGATTTTGTGATCTCTCGTTGACTTTAAGAGTGACGTATTGTTAAACGAAGTAACTAAAGAAAAATCCCTTTCAGCAAGCTGACTGGGTCGCAAAACAATTGGAGTGAAAAAAAGAAGATAATCTAATTTTAATACAGCTTCTTCTTTGATTCAAACCCAGGGAACTGAACCCTTCCGATCTTGCTACCAGGAGGAGCAAAGACCAACAAGAGTCGTGACTTAGGTAGATAAGGCCGTCTTCTTGCAGAGCGGGCAGACGTTCTGCTGAACCAACCATTTTCCAACACAAGAAGCGTGGAAATCATGCCCACAGGTCAACACCCCCAGATCCTCGCCATCGGCATAATCTTCCTGCCATGCGTAAAGGAGTGAATGCCATAGAACATTGCCAAATGCATCAACGCCCGGATGGTTTCTTGGCCATTTACCTTGCAGATACAGTAGGATTCTGCCTTGCAGGGCATAGAAGAGAGATATTTCCGTTGGTTCAAGTTCTTCTGCATAGTGTCCTCGGCTAGCCCCACACTCACATTCCCAATCTGCTCTTCCAATGCCAACAACTCCTGCCAGGTATGGATAAATAATCATATCAGCCTGATGCTAGTCATGGGAGTAGTTAAACATAGGGAAACACAGTAGACATCTGCAATAATACCCCACGCTGGGGACTGAAACGTTATACAATGGACTTCACGTTAAAATTAAAATGTAGCAGAAAAATGATGAAAATAAGAAGAAACGTAATTCGAAAGAGACGAAACTGAACTAGACTGGGTCATAAACGTACCTCAAGTATCATCATAGTCAATGCTCGGTAGCTCCATGGGCCCAAGGGGCCCCTACAAAAAAGCTCCGATAGCATCTGTAGATACTCACTCGTTGGACCTTGATGGGGCATCCAGCTGGGAGCTACTGGTGGAAGAACGCCAGAGCTACGTCTTACCAAGCCTCTGCGGTCTGCCGCCTCGCATGGACCACCTGGGCTCTCACTTGAACTCATGTGGTGGAAGCCGCTGGTTGAAGCCCTTTGGTCGTCCACTGGTGCAGAAAAATATGAGAAAGTAGGGAAACCTCGTCTAACCTCATGAGGACTCTGCACATCTCCTCCGGGACCCTGCGAGACTTGACGACCCTCGAGGAGAGCCGATTTGTTTCGAATGAGCGCGCCCTATTTCGGACAAAAAGCACAGAGGCCCCGATGAGATCATCTCCTCCGGTCTATGTGATCCAGAAGCAGCAAGTGGACCAGAGTATGGGGGTGTGTGAGAGATCTTACGTCAATCAGCGTGCTCTCGTCCCTCCTTGAATAGATCGACCTCGAATGCGATCCCATTCCCGGTGCACCACTGCGCAGAGACAATGAAACGGAGGATCAACTTTTTTCCATTTCGGTTCTGCCCCTGGCCGCACCTGGCCGGATCAACGGCTGAAGAAAGTAGCTTGGTCAGAGAAGCAACGGCAGAAAATCAGGTTGCAGACATTCGGGGATCGAAGCAGATCCTTTGGGCAACTCAGATCCTGAAAAAGGGGCCAGATTTTTCTTTTTCATCGCAAGCTCAAGAAACCCAGAGGGTAGAAGAGCGATACAGAGTCTGTCCGTCTGCCCATCTTCCTTTCCTTATGGAAGAAGAAGAGACATCCTACAGAAGAAGCGAGGAGAACAGAACGAGAGGCCCGCGGAGTGAGGACGAGTCTCTCACTGAACAGTGGAAAGAGTGGAGGAGGGAATGCGAGAAAAAAATAAGGATCGGCGAAAAAGACAACGAGACAAATTGGGAGATACGCAGTGAGAGAAAGATGGCAAGACGAAGGAGAGGGGTCGGAGATACGCGGACGAGGTGAAAAGAATACTCACCGGCGGAAGCCGCGCTCCTGCTGCGCTCGGAAACTCGGACCACTCTCCATGTCTCCGACTGGAGCGGGTGGCTCGGAATCTGCCCTCGTCATCTTCCTGCCAATCCCTGCCGCGTCTGTCTCTTCCACGGAGTCGGGGGAGGAAACCCAGCACCGAAAGAGAGAGAGAGAGAGAGAGAGAGAGAGAGAGAGAGAGAGAGAGAACGAGGGAAACAAAGGGAGAAGAGAAGGGTGGGAATCAGCAACGGCGGTTGTGGGCAGAGGCTATGAATAACGTTGCAGAGAGAAAGAAGGAAGTCGAGTCTTGGCCCCTTCCGAAACGGCCGGATACGCCGGATCTTTTCTTCAGAAAAAGGCGCGAATCTTGTAATCCAGGGGCGCAGGGGTGATCCCTCCACTCCGGTTAAAATTCACGTTATTGTACCCCTCTTTACGGTTGTTATGAGTCAATTTTATAGAAAAATAAATATGTAAGAAACCAAAGATTGACCCATCTAAAGTTTTAATCTAGAGGAGAATAGTTGATGCTAATCTTTGTCAGCCTCATCAAGTTATGAAGCTTGAATAGAGGAGTGAGTGAGACATCTCTGTTAAATCCAAAAGGCTTTGGAGAGCTCGAGCTGTTTCGATGATGATCACATCTATGAAATGGTGAGTTGATTACTCTAAAAATAGGTAATATTAATTGCTGGGTGTTTTAAAATAGTTTACTAAAAGGGAAATTAACCCAAGGAAAAAACATGCCATAACCTTTGGCTGTATATGCTATATATAATACGAATTTTACTTAAAGTAAAATACTCATTATTGTTAAAATTGGTTTCACTAATTGAGACATGAACTAATCGAAAACATAATCCAACAAACCACATGATGGAATTTTGAAAGCATTGAATTTTTATCAATTTTATAAATTTAGTAACCCTTTCTATAGTTTAAAATGCAAGCAGATGGTGGGACATATTTCAGACCATTCAGCAACTAATGAAGTCTCCTAATATCATTCAAACCAAAAGCAGCCTAGTTAGGTATATATATATAAAGAGAAACCTTTACTCACATATCTTTCTTATAAGAAGAATGAATTCTCAGCTTATTTATTATAGATTGAGTTTCATTGTACAACCTTCTTGCAGGGAGTTTGCTCTTAACTATTCCTAGTCTGAACACCCATTTCTAACGTTATGTAAAATTTTGCTACTTTAAGGTTTCAAAGAATCCTTAACACAAGGTTTTCCAACAACAGGATTAGAGGGATCAGGTGACAAGATAACTAGAGTTGAACTCCTATGAATGATAACTTATTCTACTTCAAATTTAGAGTGCATTCGTACACTAACTCTGGTATAAAGCCACACTCTAAAGGTAGCTCGTGGAAGCCAATTATCTATGTTGGACAATTAGTGTCGTAAATCTAAGGCTAGTGGGTCTTTTCTATTTAGCCCTCCTAGAGTCATGAATTTAAAGGAAATAAGCAAGTTTCTCCACTGATTTTGAGCCCCTAATATAACAAGAGTATTAGGGGAGGAGAGAAAGCCTCCCAGAAATTGAACTGATTGAATATATCATGTATTGCCCACAACTAGACACCTTTGCAACAGGTGGACATCCCAGATCTCTTTCTGCAACAGTTGGAGATTTCCTAAATCAATTTACATTGAAATAAAGACCTACTATATTCAGTAGTAAGTTCTTGATATGGTCGTTAACTTGATCTTATGATGTGGTAGGTTGATCAGCTATAAAGAACAAAGGGAGAATCACTACAACTCTCATAAGGGATAATTAGGACACATTTCAAGCTTGCAAATGCAAATGGTGCAGCCGAAAGGATGACTAAAACTTGGGGGAGGGAAGAATGAGGGCTGAAACCCATGTATATTTAAGAGATACCTTCCTAAGGTTCTTCTATCCTCTTATTGTAATAAGTTTGATGCAAGGCATCAACCTGTCCTCACAAAATCATGATTTCAAATAGTCCAAAGGCCTCCCAACACTCATTTAGATTCAAAGCTACATAGTGAACTAAAAATTCACATTAGTCATTCTTAAATTAGTACCTCATGAAATTCTTAAATTAGTACCGCATAAACCCTACCATTAATAAACAAAGAATATAAAAGAGACTAAAACATACATTTCACTTGTATGTATGATAGATTCCTTATAGTGTACAGTGTGGATATAGATGTTTAAACCTTTTTCTACAAACTTGTGTTGATGGACATGAAAGACTGTTAATGGAGATTGTACATGCTAACCTGTGTTGCTAAGTACAACATCTGCATGATTTCAACTGAATAAAATATATATAGATTACCACATTGACTTGATATACCACAATATATCCTGAAGTTTTTATGGCATAAATATTGATGAAAATAGCTTTACAAAGTTATCCTCCTATTCACAGCCCTCCTATTCTCTTAAGTGATTTACAAGTATATGAGATCAGAAAATCTATTACATGATAGATTTCACAATTACCACCCCACACTAGATACAAAAGTATTAGCTTCTTTCGTAGCGATTGCCATAACTAGCCTCTAAGAGTGTCTATATATAAGTCATAAAGCTCACAAAACATACACTCTAGTTCTGACTAGGAAATGATAGCCTCATTGTTGTTGGTAATTTGAGCAATAACAATGGCTTTGGGAAATTGAAAACACCCAACATATTTTCTAAAGTGGATTCAAAAAAACTTAAAAGGTAAGATTTTTGATTTTTACACACTATTTTACAGCTCTTGCAATAGGGTGTTTATAGAGAACAAAATCTCATATGTTTGAAATCAAATATATGAATGAGACCAAATTGGTTAAAAATTGCTCAATTCCATACGTGAGTAGACCCACAAATTATGCGATCTCGTCTTTGAGATCAATATGCCTCTCATCTTAGAGATCTACTATCATGTCAAAATACGTTTTTACCTCACAAGTGTCATGTCATTTACATTTTTTAGGACGAAAACAAGGAGATAGAGATTCTCAAAATGAGGAGAGCAATGACTTTGTTATATCATTTAATGTTAGAGTGATTAGCACTTATGGCTGATGTAAAGCCACAACCTTGAGGAGATTAATGAGTGTTATTCAAGCTTCACCCTCTAGGGTCATGAATCTTGAACAAGTCTCCTACTTTTAATAAAACTATTTTTGTGCATTTAACTATATAAAGGTACCTTAGTAACTTCTTAACTGGCAGGGTTACCTATAGATGATCTTATTACTGACTATGTTACAAGTTTTATCTATTTAATGTGAAATCCACTCAAGGGCAGAAACGTTAGTAGTTACTTGAAATATATTTAGTTATTATAAATTAAAGTAAAAATAAATATTATTTATCAATAATGTTAACATAAATAATTTTATATGAAATTTTAGTGTCACTAATCTGAGAATCAAACGGATTTCAAATTTCTCTTGAAGACGAGCAAAATGCAACAAACCACTCAACGCAGGTCAAAAGTATTGACTTTTTACGGATTTTACAACGTTAATATTCCCTTCTAGAATTTAAGTTGAAGGCAAAGAATATGACCATTGAAGAAACCTGCTATCTGAAAGTCGGAAGCAGTGCATTAAACTCTGTATGAATACGA